TCCCATCTATGCCTCGTCCACACTGTGCCTCGACCCCACTGTGCTACCGTTTTTTTTTATTTTTTAATTTAACACTATCTACAGATTTGCATCGGAGCGTTTCTTATGATAGTGATTTTAATCACTGTCAGATTAAATCTATACTGGACCCNTTCTTATGATAGTGATTTTAATCACTGTCAGATTAAATCTATACTGGACCCAACTATGCAATGTCTCCACTATGCCGCGACCCCACTGTGCTACCGTTTTTTATTTTTAATCTATCTCTTTACTCAATGTGTTTTTAAAAACAAATGTGGTCTAATTATAATTAAAATAATATTTATGAATAAATAGGAAATTACCAAAAAATGAAAACAAAAGTATAATTAAATTATTTATTGCTGAGAAGGTATTAATTTTACTATGATGTGTTTTTTTTTTATGTCTGCTGCCACTTTTTCTCAGCTCTCACTGGATTGATTTCTTTCAAAAATACGTTAAAAGATCACAAATCGTATTTAGTTGGAGACATTACCCTTAAAAATTGAAAAATTTTCCCTCGTTCCCCGCCAATGAAACATCTTTTGACGATCAAAAATTACCACTTAAACTAATAGTTGACTCTTCTTCATATGCGCTAGGTGCAGTCTTATTACATTAATAACCTGATACTTCTGAAACACCAGTAACTTTCGCTTCACGAATACTATCTTATGCCAACCCAACCCTACTACTGGGTGATCTTAATAGCATTACTAGACATCAAATAAGCACTTTGGCTGATCTATTGACAGGATACGGTATTCTGCTTAAACATATTTACACAATAGAAGTGACAGAACAACCACTCTACAGGACACGAGGAAAAAAGCGGACGATTCATTTCACATTATGTGTGTGTCTTAAGTATTGAACAACAGCAACAACACTTCGGTGGAAACACTTATTTGAGCCATCACTACTCTACACTATCTATATTTAATGATAATACGATGTTTCAAATACCTACAGTTTAGATTAGGGTCGGAACGAAGCACTGAAAGGGCCGCAACTGACCTTCAGAATTACGTTCACTACAAAATGGATCGAACAAAACAGTCGAGGCAATACTACTGCCAGACGATATGTTCACCAATAATGGTAATGAAGCATTATCATATTTGCTGAACACAACGAGGGGTTTTATCTCTCTTGTTATGGTGTTGGGTTTAGGAATAGTACAGGGCTTGACAGTCTTGGTACATTTAGCCTGAATAGACAAGAAGTTGGCTTTAAGACAGTAGTGAAATACTAAGGTATTCTCCTAGATAGTAAGCTAAGATGGAAATCACATATTGAGAAAAAAGTGAAAAAAGTAATAGCTACATTGTGGACATGCAGCAGAACTCTGGGGTCTTAAGCCAAGAGTTATGTATTGGCTATACACTTCAGTGATTAAACCTACAATTCTGTATGGTGCCTTGGACTGGGAGACTGGAATAACACTGTTTACAGTCAGGAATGAACTTAAATGTATTCAAAGAATTTCTGCTATAGCCATTACCGGAGTGATAAGAACCACACCAATGGTGGCACTAATTGAACTACCTTCTTTACACATAGAGGTTAAAGCTCATACCACAGCTACAGCAATAAGACTCCACAACTTAGGTGTTTGGGCTATGGATAGAACATAGTCAAATACTAGAACGGAGTATACTGGGATATCCCTAAGACAGTATCAAACCTGTTATCCGAATAAAATTGCCTAAAAAGTTGAGGTCTTAACACGTAAGAAATGGAATATAAATCGCCTGACTAGGAAAGGAGGGTTTCTAATTTATACAGACGGCTTCAAGAAATCAGGAAAACTAAATGCTGCCATTTGGGGATTAAAACCTTGTATAAATATCAGCATGACAATGGGCACAATACACTTTGTGTTCCAAACAGAGGAAATGTCAATACTAGTAGGGGCCTAGAACCTGCTAGTATTCAAGAAAAGGAACATAACTATCTTAAGTGATAGTCAAGCCGCTCTGAAAGCACTTAGTAATAACCAGGCGAATCCAAGGCTAGTCCCTGAATTCAGGGAAACTTTATAATCACCAGCAAGGTTCAATAAAGTTATACTGGCATGGATACTAGGACACAGCGGTGTGACTGGTAAGAAAAAGCAGACTTTCTAGTGAGGACAGGTGCAGAAAACATCTATGTTGGGCCAGAACATAGATATGATAGGATTCATTGAGTGGTACCCAGATAATCTAAAATGTTTATCAAGTCCCCCAGTCTAATGCTGGTTGATCTTAATAGCATGACTAGACATCTAATAAGCACTTTGACTGGTGTACTGATAGGACACAGTCATCTGCTTAAACACGTTCACACAATGGGAGAATAGTGGTCAGAACAACCACTGTACAGGAAGTGTGGAACAGAAGAAAAAGATTCACTTCACATTGTGTGAATGTGATACTCTGGACACATTAAAATCTAAACATTTGGGAAAATCTTTTCCCAAAAAAGAAGATATCAAAAACTTACAACCCAAAGAGATACTTAATTTCGCTAGAGAGACAGGATTCTTTGAATATATATGAGTGGTGCGGCCTAGTAGGACGTCATACATATAGTCTTAAGTATTCAACAATAGCAACAACACTTTGGTGGAAACACTTATTTGAGGAAACCGAATTAATACAATTAAGGAGGTGAGCACAATGGACCCATAGGTGTGATTGCATGGGAAGCTTTTGCCCACCTCTATAACAACTAAATTATTTTTTTACTCTATTTGTGTGTGCTCTACTAGACTATAATATTACAAATTTTTTTGGATCATGTTGTTATATAAATCATTTCAAATATAATCAAATTTTATAATACACTCAATTGAGTAAATCTTTTTAACAACTTTGTTTTGACTGGTTCATTTAGTTAAA